AAATTAAAAAATCATTCCATAGCTTATCATAATTAATGTATTGTAGGTCAACTGCATACTTTAGGCGTAATTCAAGTCAAACTTTAACTTGATGAAGCTTTAACTTGATTAATGGACGCTACCCGCTATTAAACAAGTACCTTTAATTTTTACTCTCATAATCTTCATGAGATGGTAAGAATTGAATTTGAAAATAAAATATAAAGCAGGAAAAAAAATGCTGGTGAATGAAGGATTTCAACAAAAAAAAAAAAAAAAATGCTGCATATTTGTATTTTCCATTTCATTAATTATATTCTTTAGATTTTCAACAGAATTATAAAAATTAAAAAATCATTCTATAGCTTATCATAATTAAAGTATTGTTGGTCAACTGCATATTTTAGACTTAATTCAAGTCAAACTTTAACTTAATGGACGCTACCCGCTATTAAACAAGTACCATTAATGTTTACTCTCATAATCTTCATGAGATGGTAAGAATTGAATTTGAAAATCAAATATAAAGCAGGAAAAAAAAGGTTAGTGAATGAAGGATTTCAAAGAAAAAAAAATGCTGCATATTTGTATTTTCCATTTCATTAACTATATTCTTTAGATTTTCAACAGAATTATAAAAATTAAAAAAAATATTTTATAGCTTATCATAATTAATGTATTGTTGGTCAACTGCATACTTTAGACCACAGGCGGATCTACGGACGGGGGGGAGGGCTTTCCGGCTGAAGCCCCCCCCCCCCCAAAATGGTAAAATATAACCATGTTTTTCAGGAAAAAATATTAAAAACTATCTCTTAAAGTATTCTTGTTCGTGTAATTACATTTAATAGGACTTGAAGAACCACTTAAACACCATTTCATATAGGTAATTAAGTTCTTTATATTTTTTTCAAATTAATTTCGTTATATGTATATGAAAAAAAATCTTTCGGGCTGAAGCCTTCCCCAAAATTAAATCCTGGATCCGCTAGTGCTTTAGGCGTAATTCAAGTCAAACTTTAACTTGATGAAGCTTTAACTTGATTAATGGACGCTACCCGCTATTAAACAAGTACCTTTAATTTTTACTCTCATAATCTTCATGAGATGGTAAGAATTGAATTTGAAAATCAAATGTAAAGCAGGAAAAAAAAGGCTAGTGAATGAAGGATTTCCTTGAATAGATAAAGAGAAACGACCAGAATTACAAAAAAAATATGACACCGGCTTTCAATGTTGATAAGAAATCTATGTTTAACAACTATCGATGTATTTATAGTACAAAATACTGTTAAAACTGTTGTAATTCTTTTATCAAGGCACGGTTATAACATCAAGCAATATTCAATGTAGGGGCTAAAATAATCATCAAACTACGTAATATAATATTCTTTTTGTAAAAGAAGAAAGATCGTGTAACAATTTTAAGTCGATTTTTCTCTGTGAAACAATATTGTGTAATACAAGTACACAATGAAAATATACTTATAAAATAAACTGTACAGTAAAGTGTTAATTATGTATAATACAGTTAATTTAATTAACATGAAAAATTTGTTATAACTAACCTGTGCACCGCATAATTGGGCCAGACAGACTACAGTGATAAAGAAATACATCTCCATTTTTGTCAATGAATAGAACTGTTGTAGATGATCCTGGATTAAATAGGAACAGAACAGATTATCTCAAGTGGTTGAGATTAATTATTAACAAATTAAATAGGTGTTATTTTTAACCAAGGACTACCTTTCAGCTCTTGGAACTCAATCAAACTGACCAAAGACCAGTACCAACGCAATTATATTCAAAATAAGAGGATTCGCGTAGGTCAAGGCCAAAGGAGCTGAGGTCATTAAACGAAAAACAGGCTACTTGGAAAAGAAGCAAATTGTTAAGCCCAGAAGACTATAATTAAATAAGAATTAGTTCCGTAATAATAAATGATTTAATCTGCAGGGAGGGGGGGGGCGAGGATAAACTTCATGCTTCAATTCTTTTATGCTACATATAATTAATTAACTTAAATTACGCCTGAAGCATGCCATTAATCAACTATGTATTATGATAAGCTATGGAATGATTGTTTTTATTTTTTATAATTCTTTTGAAAGTCTGAAGAATATAATTAATAAAAAGGAAAATATAATTATGCATTTTTTTTTTGTTGAATAGTTATTGAACCTGAAAATTTTCAGAAAGACTAGTGATCAAAATTTTAATTGTTTTTACTTATTTTTAAAAGTTGAAGATGTTATTGATAGTAATTTTACAATATATGAGTTATTTAACTAAATTGTGCTACTTAGGCAACAAGAAAGATAAATGAATTGCTTATTCAGAGATTTTATTGAGATACATAATATAGATATCTTCTTTACCTCTATTACCATTTATCTAATTCCATATTTGAAACAATACAGTATGTAGGAATATCATTATTTCATTAAAAATATGAATTGATTTTTAATCACAACTGCACTACGAACAGTTATCACAATAAATTTCAATTAAACTGTCTATATATTACCAAATAACTGTCATCAGGTGCCATACCAGTTTCTGTTAACTAAATAATGGAATTAAGTTTATATTTAAGTAATATGCCATATTTTGTCTTAACACTCAAAATTGTTTCCAAAAATTGAATTCATTGATCATGTGGCACTTATTAATTACATAACGGGCGTGAAAAATTGGTAGAAATTTAAAATGAAAAGTTAAACTTAAACAGCATATTATCATAACTTGGTTATTTTCAACATAATTTATGCATTTTAATTTAAAATGTTAACAACGCATATAGGTAGGTTTGAGTAGAGTAATTTGGTTGAGGACTGAGAGGGTTTCCTTTATTCAATGAATATAACTTTTTTTGTGCTTATAAAATGGAATATACGTGGACAAGGTGAATAAAGTTTATTTATGGCCAGAACAAACATGTTATTTATTTAATTTTTTTTTAAGTTTGATTATTGTTACACTGGCAATATAACAATTGTATAATTCTACAACTTGAATTTTATAATTTGTAAGTTTTCTTAATTCACATTTCTATGTTTTAATTTAAAAATTCATTATTTTTTGCAACCACTAATGTGATTCTGGTGGGTCTATTTTGTAATAGATTTATTTGTAAATAACAATTTTAAAATTTTTGTGACTAAAGATGAAAATCAAGAAATGAATAATGACAAATCTTCAGGAGAGAATAAAGAAGTAAGTTTAATGTGGTGTATGATTCACTTCTTAATCTATAATTTAATCTTTGATAAATAAGTATTTAAGTTGGTGATAAATTTTTAATTTATAGATAAGGAAATTTTGGTCTTATGCCACCGTAATTATTATAGTTATAAACTTCTCTGTTTGACGTTTAAAATCTCTATGGTGTCCATTTTCTATCAATACTTTAGTATTGAAAAAACATTCAGTTATTAAGGAATAATCTCCATTTAAAAAAAAAAAAAAACAACTTTTTGCACTAGGTACCAGTAATGGACATACCTCAAAAAATTCTAAAATCTTTATTTAATGATAAAGATAAGATAGTTTCAATTTACTCTTAGCAAAACTGTTAGTTGAAAGATTTGATGCACACTTATCTCAAGAGCACTATAGAAGTAACAATGACAGGCATTTCACAATTTTATTTTGGGAACTTGATTCATACAGTTATCAATAAAGGGCATTGTTCTTCAATCTAGAAAAACCTGGAACTTTTAAATCAACAAGGAAGCTTATTATTTACATTTAAAGTCCAACCTCCTGCATGTCCATCAACTTGTTCAGAACCTCCTGTCCATAACTGGTGCGTTCACCCTAAAGGTTTAAGCTATTTTGAAACTCTTTTTCTTGGAGTTCTCCAAAAGTTTACTATTGAGAGCAGTAGTCTTCTTCTGCCCTTGCTAATATTTTATGTATTGATTGTTTTATAAAGTTAATAAAGTATTAAATATTGTTTTATTTGCTCAGAGATACGCTATCATTACATAAAAGTGCACTGGTATAAATGTAAAACATAAAGTATTCTAATGTATGCTCTTTATCTCCAAACAATGCGTTAGGATAAATGCACCAGTAGGTGACACGCGTAAGGAAATTTCTTTCAACTTTTACGTACAAAAACATAAATGTTGATGGTAATATATTTTTCATTGATTCATCTTATAGAACTATTTCCCACCTTAATGAGACTAATTTCAAATCCACAAAACATTCATTTAAATGTTAAAAAATTGAAAATTAAGAGAAGTTTTGTTGTACCAGTTGCTGCATATTTGGAATGTACCTGTAGCTGACAGGGATGAGAACATGGATGTAAATTAAGCAAAATTTCATATTCTTCATTATAGAATTAACAAAAACTACCTTTAACTTATTACAAAACTAACTTCTTTCATGTCTCGACTTAAATTTATCAATAAGTCATGATCGCTGTCAAGAACCTGTCTTTGGCAATAGGAAAAGCAATATAGAGACACCCATAGTGTGATGTATAGTGTAGTGATAGCGTGATGTGTATGGCTGTCGAACATGATAATCTCAAACCTTTCTCAGCTCTACTTTTTAAACACCCATTATAACAGCTAATAAAATACTTAAATAACTTTTTTATTTTTATTTAACTATTGTATTAAACTAAATATTTTTAATAAGAGATGACAGAATGAGGGAAAAACAGAAAGATATTTCTTTGATAGAAGTTTTGAAGTGAGGTTTATTAGTACATAAAATACAACAATAAGTAATATAACAATTTATTTATGTATAAAACAATACTATTTACAATGATAAAATAAACAAATTAATTAATTTTCTCAATTCATTGCTTATTTTTTGAAATGAGAATGCTTATATATAAAATATATAGGATTTCAGATAAAATTATACTTGATAAAGTTTTAGAACTAACTATATTCATCATAATTACAAAAGAGGCACATGATAAAAAAAAAAAAAAATTACTCTAAAATAAATGTAGTGTAAGTAATTATTGACTAGTAATAATTTTTTTTTTTTTTAAAAACATTGTAACTATACAATAAAAACAAACTAACAAGAGTATTATATCACAGTTTTAAAATACTAAAATTAAGGGTAACTTTATATTAAACTATTAACCTTAATTTCATTTTTGTTTTTATTATGAAAAATGATCCTAGATACTTTTGCGGGAATCAGTTTCTTAAAAGGTTTTACATCGACAGTTATTTTTTCTTCTACCTTAACTCCAGAAGGTCCTGGTAGTTGAACATCAGGAGGTGGGAGTTGATTACTCTGTAAACATTATTTTATATACTATTAATGGAAGATAAACAAGTAAAAAATTCAACAAGAAGCAGAAATATAGAATTTAGGTTTTAGTTGGAAAAATTAACCCACTGCGGTACAGATCCCTTTGGTACTTGTGAACGGTCTGGTCTCTGGTAAACCACCCTTCTTATCTTATTTTACATTATATAATCTGCCTTTTTATCAAGTGTAAGCTGTTGTGTGTGAGTTATTGAAATGGATGTTATTACATTGTGGGAATTGCCGTCTTCAGGAGAAGAGGCTATAAAATATTTTCAAGACGCCGGGATTATTGCAAAGTGAAATATTGTGATGAAGGTCATGAAATGAAGTTTAAAAGGAAGACGAAAGGGAGATGCTTTCGTAACACTTGTAAGGAAAACGTATATCTATAAGGAGAGGGGCGTGGTTAGAGGGGTCGAAGATTACCTTTTCAACCGCATCAAAATTAATTTATGGGAGGTCTCATAATTTGACAACAATACAGTGGGGCAAAGAGCAGCTGAAACTATCGAACAGATGTATCATAAGGTAGAATAAATTTTTAAGAGAGGTTTATGCCCATGATATGTTATACAGGTCAACTAAGAAAAGTGGAGGGCCTGGGAAAGTCGTTGAAGTAGACGAGAGTCTTTTTTTCTAAAAGAAAAAATCATGTAGAGAGATTTCTCCCTGAACAATGGATGTTTGGCAGAGTTTGTCGAGTTTGCAACAGCTCGATTCATATTTATGTGAATTTTTGTGGTGGCGTGCTCACAGAGAAGAGGACCCATTCCTTGTTATTTTAAATATCATTAAGCTATTTTGTCTTCCAAAATTAATCAAATCAAAGTGTTTTGTTATTTATATTTCTAATTAATATGTATATTGTAAAATAAAAGTGTTTTGTTATTATTGCATTTGTTTTTGTGTTTCATATGAAGCTAGGGATTATCAGTGCCTTATCACAATTATCAGTGCTCAGGTTATAAACATTGGCAGATAGCAGTCCATAAGAGATCAGACTGTTCAGAAGTACCACCCCCTTTTTGAGGTCGTGGTGGCCGAGTGTGTTGGAGCGTTGCCCGGTCTAGCATCCTCATGCTTAGTGACGCCAGTTCGAATTCCTGGGAGTGGTTGACTTTTATTTCGTGGCAGCTCCACACGGAGTTTGGTTGTGCCTCAAGAACAACCCCTCCCCTCCATTTGCCAGAAATGGTGGGTAGGGAGTTATCTTATATATATATATATAAAAAAAAAAAAGTACCACCCCTTTTTATCAAATTATTAACATCGGTTTAAAACTTTGAGGATTGATTCAGCCCACCATAATCTGTAACTATTATCCACAAAAATTCTCGGAAACATGGCATTTGTACTGCAGACTACACAGATATAATAACAAGAAGAAAATAAGTAGATTACCATCAATAGAAGATTCATTAAGTAGTACTTACATGGTTTGAATTCTGGCCATAATTATAAAAAAGCACTTCTGGTTTGCTAGTCAAAGTTTCTTCAAATTTTCGCTTTTTACCTCGATATTTTCTGGAAAAAAAAAGTTATAAACTTATCAACTTTCAAAATAAGGAAAAATTATTTAATCAAAACATATTTGGACATTTAACAGAAGGGAACTATTTCACATTCTACATGTTTTGAGTAAACTTGTCGAAGTTAAATAGCTTTGGAAAATCTCAAAGATTTCAGCATTCTTCTTCTTTGTTCTTCCCCAAAAAAAAGTTAGTAGTGAGTGGTCCTCCTTAAGTCCTTCAGACTTTCGAACAGCTAAGACTTTGGTTCCAAGATGCAGTTGTCCGGAGAGAATCCACAGGAGAAATACCTCTCACCATAATCTTTTGTCCATTTGTAGCCATTTAGGGAAGTAATGCTTGATGTCGAGTTTTCCTTGACCATCATAAAAGATATCAGAAGACTATGTGCACCTTTCGGAAAACATCTCCGACTTCTGCGTCATTTTTAGGGTTTGTTTCGACACATTTGATCTTCTGGTCAGGATTCAGCCGATTACTAACATCTTCGGCTACACGCCAGTACTGGTAGCACTGCTGCCTGCTACCAGGGATATTTATCGATCTCCCGGTTTAGATCCGCCGTGTTCAGTGGAAAGCAGGATCACCTCAGGCAGGATGTGGTTCTTCACCACGAACGGATAGTCTTGGCAATAGTGTCCTCTTTTATATTATATACTTTAGCATTTTATATTAATATTAATTTCTGCAAGAAAATTATTTTATTTATTGAACAAATGCATTTATCAGCTAGGAAAAACAACAGCAAATAAAAGTATACACATATAATAATAATAATAATAATAAAGGCGTACCCTTCATTTCGGAATTGTTTAGGAAATTCTTGCTGCTTCAAGTGATATGAAACTTCCTTCCTTCTGGTGACTAGCTTGTTTTTTGTTTCTTCTACAGTCTCTAATTCTGGAGCGTAGCAAACATGTAGAACACCACCGAAGAAGGCTCTACTGTCAAGATTCCTTTTAGCAAACCTGAAAAATATAAAAACGACTTAAATTAAAATTTTTTAAGTTTTGAAACAGCAATAATATTAAAACGGTAAATTTTTATACAATTTTTTATAAAAAAAATATTGGCTTTGCAATTTTTAATTCATGTTTAGGTCGATCGTGACTTATGCTGCAGCAATCTTACAAAATAAAGTTTAGATAGATTTTATAATATATTAATTCGTAGCAATTAGTTTTCCTTGACCAATATGTCTAGAGACACAAATATTAAAAATGCATAATTAAAAAAAAAAATATATATTTATTACACATGAAAGAAGTTAATAATAAATAACGAAAAAATCGGTTGTTCTGAATATTCCACTATCAGGGTTAAGGCAGATTTTACTCGAAAAGGGTAATCAATTCGCGATCAATTTTATGAACCTCAAACTAATATTTTGGATACAAAGATTCTGCTCCAGACACAATACTGTTTTTTAAAAAATTAACTGTGAAACTGCCAGCGTTCTCTTACAGTTAACCAGCAAATGGGATTCAAAGATTTAGCAGACAGTTCATGAGAATTATCATTACGCTGACATATTCAACGTGAAACTTAATTTTTTAAAAAGTTAATGCTCGATTGGACTCTAAATTTTAAGATCAAAAAGTCCATTTTAAATTTTATTCATTACTCTTGTTTGATTTCACTATAACGACCAGTGTCGTTATTGACAATCAAAGGTGTATGAATATAGTGACTGTAGTCATTTATAACGATGAAGTTCATCCCTTCAAGGTCATTATAAACAATATCCATTGCATATTAATTTTCAATTAGAAAAAAATATTTAAGTATTAAAAAAATTCCCAGACTTTTTGCTGTTTTTTCCAGATTGGTCACCATCCTGTGAAACCTTTACTTGAAAAGATGGAAAAAGTTCTAGTCCCAAAAGAACCGAAAAACTGTCAAAAATAACAATTTCGGTGATATTGAAACGTTAAAAAAAATTTTCTGTTTCAATCAAGCCCAGATTCATACAATTAAGAAATTGAATTTTTGTCAAGATCATAAAGTTACACCAATTAATGTATTACTCTGGTTAAAAAATCTGAGGATTTAAGTTTACGAGGTGGTAATAGCAAGTCTTAGGAGAAATACAAAAATACATTATTTAAAGATGTTTTCATTTATAAATAATATTACTAATTATTAATTTAACAGGAGCGTGGTAGCTCCTATTTACAGTTATTAGTCAGTTTCCTGCAGCTATTTATTCTGTTATATTAATCATTCCACCAGTTGTCGATCTACCCAGTGGTCAGGAGAATCTTCTGGGGCACACCCAGCCTCTATGAAGTGATTAATCATAATTAATAATTATGGTTAATATTTATTAAATATAAGGAAAAACTTGGTGGTTGAGCATAATCTCATTCGAATCTCTTCTGAATTAATCATTCAACTGGTGGAATGATTAATATAACCGAATAAATAGTTACAGGAAACTAACTAATAACTGTAAATAGGAGCTACCACACTCCTTTTAAACTAATAATTAGTAATATTATTGCATCGGATGTGACGGCAACTTTTTCGTTAAAATCGACTAACTGGAGGTGGCATTTTATATTAACAATTATACACATTTTTACAAGTTTCTAAAAAACAGCTTCAACGATTTTGATTAAACTTGGTGTATCATTGTATAATTTAAGTGGTCTTCAATATAATTGAGGTCTTATCCCCATTGATGTCACTTTACAGAGCTTAAATATTCAACATGTCTTCCATTAAAGTATCTTTAATTTGGTTTATTTTAAATAATTAACGATCTCACATTATTAAGAGCAACAAAAAAATAAGATAATGCTATGATATTTAATTCCGGATATATTCATTAAGTAACTGTTTAGAAAGATGGTAACGTTAATTCGAAAAATAAAATCAAACCATGAAGTAATAGAAATTTGTACATCATTAATCCAACAGAGTGTAATAATAAAAAATCAAAAGGAGAAATATTTATTCACAAGTAGTGTAAATTATTATTTATTATAAGTGGTATAAATTAGGAAAATAATATAAAATAAATAATTAAATTTACCTTGAACTTTTTAAAGTTGCATAATGAACATGATAAACATTCGTGAATTCTTCGATACTTTCAATATTGTTTACTTGCTGGCTCATCAAGACTTCGCCAAATCGTTGGCAAAGGTTACGAATTTCTTCACCTAACCCGATCGCAGGAACATTGTAAATTAGAAGATGTTGAGATTCATCGCTGATAGTATAAACCTGTGAAAGCTAGGTTGTCAAGGAAAATCGAACATATACACATATTTCATTTCAAAATGTTGAACAAATAATAAATAACAGTAAAAGAACACATAAATAAGATGGGTTATGGAATAACTTGTATCTATTAAGGTATGAATTGCACTAGTTTTACAAAGAGTTAATAATAAGCATTTTAGCATTATTGATTAGTGAAACATTACATGTTATAAATGAAATGATCCCAGCATAATATATCAGCAAACAATAAATATTAGGTTGATTGCTACTTGGAGTATACTTATTTCTCAGAAGAAATTTGAATCCTAAAAATAGAGAAAGAAGAAGTATGGCAAGTAACAAAAATAGGATAAGAACATATTGTTCGGTAATTCGTCCGAATTGTCACCATCAATGATGTGTCCTATCTGACGAGTGGGCCAAAATCATATTAATCATCCTATAGATGGAATTATGAAAGTAGCTGAGTCCTAAAGTAGACAGAGGCGACTGATCCTGATTAATTGGATTATTAGTTGTTATTAAAATCATTACTGCTTAAATTAGATCTCAACAGTTTGCAATATTCAATAAATGTACATGTCCCCAACACATCATCAGTTATGATAAGGACCTTATAACGGAAATTAACCTTCTTATCAACGGAAATTGATCATTACTATCAACAAATATCCAAAAGGAAAATAAAACCGAGGAGATAAAAAGTATAAAATCAGAGAACTACAAATGCCAGAATATGTTTGAATTTAGTCAACCCCTATCAAGAATTTAAATGTCGCCTAATAGTTCGAAGTATTGAAAATGCAAATTTATTACATAATGCTAAATATTGATAATTAAGCAATACAAAAATTTCTGTTATCTCATTAATATATTCTAAAAATTTACTATAAAAACCAACACTATATGACCATTCTCATATAAAAGACATATGTGCTTTTTTAAAAAATTGACAAAAAGTATATTTTTATAATATAGCTTCAATTTGAACCAATTCTTATGTTTTTTTCATGATTTAACTTGAACATTCTTAAATAAAATCATCAGAAACAGTTTAAGAGTTGAACCTATAAAACCAAAACGACCTTTTCTCTACTTTCTAATAATGACAGATTTCCATCTTTGATGAGGCTACTTCAAATAAAGAGGTAGCAGATCTGTCAATCCGACTCGATATACTTCTGTAGCTTTATCCAAATGTATTCCAGGGTTTTCAATTATCTAGTTATAACCATACATAATTATTTTAAGCTTAAAAAACCTTGAACCATAAATAAAAGATACATTTAAAACGTTTCTTTTCCGTAGTTAAATTGATCTGTATAGTTAATAAAAATAATTCGAAGAAACAAACCTTTTTAAAATGTGAATAATAATAAACAATCTATCCAATACAAGCTACTTTGAAAGTTATGGGTTTTTATATCTAGAATTGATTTATTTTCAATGAGCTTTACAAAAACTCTGTAAAGTATTGATCATGTTAACTTCTTTTAACCAAACTAATAAATTCAGACAAAAATTGGTATGTATCACATTAAAAAATATAATCTTAACCTAATAATTGATATTAAATTAATGTAGATGCAAGTTAACATACTAAAATTTCTATGTTATAATCTTTAAGTATATAATATTTAGACATTGAATTTTTGTAGGATACATCAAGAATCGTCTACCTTCACAGCAGTATACTTCCTCCCTTGCCTATATGCAGCTCTTGTTGTGCATCCTCCTATTTTATTGTGATGGGGTAAATTAATATCAACATTCAACGAATCCATTGTTTAACCTATCTTTAGATAACTGTAAGATGTAGAAGTCTCTTGAATTACAACAACTGTATAATAAACGATCGAAGAGATCCTATAGAAATAGAACAATCACCCACCGAACGTAACCAATGTTAACTGTCAACTGACTTGTAAACATGAAGCTATCGATATCACAAGCCATGTGTTGCCAAAGCAGTGATGGGTAGTTCGTGAACGAACTAGTTCACGAAAAGGAACTTTGAACGAAAACGGTCTTACTGTTGTTGAACTATAGATCTTAATGAACTACTTCACCCAGGACTTAATTCACTTCACTTTGTTCTCTAGTTCGATGAGCTACGTTGAGTCAGAAGACTGAAAACGTTTCCAATATTTTCTAGTTCACTTAATTAAACTTTCTAGATATCTTAATTAAATTTAGTTGAGATTTTTTTGAAGATTCACATCTTTCTTTTAACTACAAATTTCTTGGATTCCTTGTAAGTCATAATCATAGTCAGGATGCATTAATTTTTAAGTTTTTTTTATAAGTGTTGACGTTTCGTTGTCTTTTTAACTATTTTTGTTCAATTAATGTAATATATGGGTAATTATTTTAGCTGATGAACCCGTCGTTGACAGGTGTATAGATAAAATTTGTGAATCTTTTTTTTTTGAGATGAATTTTGTATTATGGGGGGAGAGGGTCCAAATCCAAGGATCACTATACAAATTACTCAAGAACTTGTAACTTTGGTTCTCCTCAATATTTTGTTTTCATTTAAAAACTATATTTTGTTTTCATTTAAAGCCTATGCTTTAAGTCAAGCAAACCTTAATATAATTTCAAAATTTCAAAAGTCTACAATAAGCCATTGCTGAGCTTACCCCTGACAAAATTTCGATGCAATGCCGACATACAGACAGACAAAAACTTTTTTAATAGTGGATTTGGTGTCTGCAATGTATGAAACGGAAAGATATCATAAAACGCGTTGATTCTTTTCAATGTACAGACAAAATCTTTATTTTATTTATGTAGATATTACATTAATTATAATTTATGGTAATTAATGCAACAATGACTTTTATATTAATTAATACATTTTCAATTATAAGTATATATAACCTGTACCACTACAACCCATGAAGGGTCTTGGGTTCAGTACTATTTAGGAAAATTACTGTTTCAAAGCCTAGGGTTGTGCAGGGAGGGGATCGGACCAGGATCAGGCTCAACTGCCAGGTTTTCCCCCTTAATCAATTATTTAATTAAGCATACCCACTTTATAGAGGCTGGGTGTGCCCCAGGAGGATCTCCCTACCCCAGGAACGTCCCACTGTCAATGAAACAGAATAATTAATTTTTCTGTCATGAGTCGGGATTCAATCCTGGAGCCTTGAGCATTGAAAGCTGAGTCCCTGACCATTGAGCTATTTCACTCCCCATATATATATATTCAATAATAACTATATAGTTTATTTAATAATAACTATTTTTTTCCTTAGTTATTCATAAACAAATTAATTTTTCATTAGTCATTTATTAACAATACGTTCTTGTTAATCTCATATCCATTATAAATATTTATTAAAAAATAATAAATTTCACCTCATTTATTTACTATCAATTCAAAAATATTATGAAAGTTTATTTATTACTTCTTTGTAAATAGCAAGATGTTCCTATAAAATATTTATTAATTAACATTTCAGGATTGTATCCCATTTTGAAAATTTGCTATTAAAAAAGAACATTTATTAATTTTTAATTACTACAATATCACAGTTTAATAACTTCACAATAATATTTATTATATAATGTTTTTCTGTTAACACCAAGATATTAAAATTACATCTTCAGACATTTGGAGTTTGCAAAATAACTATTGTTTTTTACATTATATGTATTTAATTTCAATTTGATATGAAAGTTTATTTATTTTTGTTTATGCCGTTCATTAAAATTATTTTTGATTGTTGATCATTTATTATTTTATTTTTTATCAGTTTATTTGTAATATATTAAAATTAAAGATAAATTGTAGTCATAGTTTGCAACTGAAAGTACTATGGTTAAAAACTTAAATTTTTTTTAATTAACTATAATTTTATTTTTTTAATATATTTTTTTTATTAATAATTGTTTTATTAAACAAACATATAAATGGTCTTTGTAAACAGATCTGTATTACATTCTAAAGATGGGGTAGAGATTTAGAAAGATTAAATATAATGTAATAAATATATAATTCTTGATTTAAGAAGTTGGTCTGTGAATTTAAAAAAAAATCTTATATTAGCTTTAAAATTTGATAGGAGCTCCAAAACATACGATTATGCATATTCAACTTAAGTAATTCCATGAGTTTAAAACTATTTTTATACTAAATTGAAGTTATTTTCAAAAATCATAATTTTTGTGACTTTGCAAGTAATCATTTGTATCTGTGGACCCATATTCACTAATGTATTTTATATATATGATGTAATATATATATATATTGTTTTTCGCAATTTAAATTTCACTTTTGGTACTCTACATCTATAGCAAGATTTTCTTATATTATTTCATCTTAGTAATTATGTTGAGTGTGAGCCTAATTAGTGTTAGATTTTTTTTAAATTCCTAAATATTTATCTATAGCTGGTACATTTTAAATACTTCTTTTAATGTTTTATTTCCGACATATCTTGAAATAATATTCAATTTGTTTCAGAGTAAAATGCCTTCAAGACGCACTAGTAGTATTTGGTACCACTTTAATGAGGGAAATGATAAGGCAGAATGCGTATATTGCAAAAAACTCATAAGTACAGCTGGAGGTTCATTTGGAAATTTGAGAAGGCATCTAAAAAAGAAACACCCAACTGTGCCTGAAGAAAGGAGGAGGAGGAGCATTACTCCATATGGAAAAAGATCTGAGTCTCCTTTTACTCCAAGTGTATCTTCATGTTCCAGATCTCCTTCTGATACACCGTCTACATCAACGCAGGCTGACGCTGAGTCATTAGTAAGTGGACCAACAACGCCAACTAGATATCAAAATCGTCCATTACAAACTACAATGAGGGATTTAGTTGAAATCATAAAAATTGTTTCCATGAGTAAAAGCAATATTATCGACTTGCAATTACTTCGCATGATATAAAAAGAATATCACCCGTTTAATAATAAGCCTTGTCCTTGTCAAATGGCATATTAAGGCAATTGTGGATAACAAATTTAGGCTACATGGGGAACAGACTAGGAAACAAACTCATTCTAAGTTGTTAGATACAGGTAGGGCCCTGTCACAAGAGAAGTAAATCACTTCTAATGGACAGGAGTACCATTAGGTTTGTGTGACAGGACTGTATACTGATCACTATCAACTAAATAAGCACCTCTTTAATTTGGGTGTAAGTGAGACCTCCAACTGCAGGCTGTGTGGCTTGGAGGATGAAACAGCCTATCACATTATTTGTAGATGTGATAATTTGGCTAGACTGTGATACTCTCAGTTTGGATGTGATCGTATCACTGACCCTAAGCACTGCAAACTAATAGATCCTATTAGTATTAACAGGCTCACAAAGGCATTTGGCCTGTTTTATTAGAGTTTAGGATGACGCCCAATAGGCCTTCTTGAGGCAGCGGTGCATTTTTACATAGGAAAAAAAAAACCCATTTAGTTTGGTCTAGGATCCAGAATTTATAAAATTTGTTAGACTGTTTTGTCCAGGGTACAACATCCCTAGCCGAAAAACCTTTTCAAAAAGTTTACTCTCTCAGTTATATACTGATTTAGGCCCGGTTGCACCAACAGTCGTGATTCAAGTTAACATTCTCTGTTAACTAACTCACATTAAAACTTAACCAATGTTAAACTACGGGTCCAGTTGCTGCAAATAATTTTTAAACAGAGTTAGTTAACATGGTGTTAACGTGTGACGTCATTTTATTTATGACGTATTTTAACAGGTTAGCTGCGGTTACGTTCCCAAGGTTCCAATATTTGTCTCTATTGTGGCCGGGATTGTTTCGAATTGTGTCTTTTCGAATTTTGGAAATGGTAATTTTTAAAAATATTTGAATGGGAGTTGGATAGATGTAAAGACTGATATAAAGGTGAATAATCATTAAATCTGATATACGTCAGGGACCATAACTGCAGCTAACATGTTAAGAAGAACCGGTGATTGTTGAAACTTAGGCTATATTATGAAACCTTCTATCCACTTGCGTGTAAATCGTGTGTGGTATTTGAAATTAGCTAGGTATTACATTATTTATTGTAAATAAGATGGAAACAAGAGAGAGGGAGACATTTTTCAGTAAGTGAAAACAATTGCTGTTTTCTATAATACCTGAACATTTCAAAATAATAGGAAACAAAAAACTGATGGGTTGAGTATAAAAAAAAAAATTCTGCATATGTGCAGGTTGCAGAAGCATTTAATGCTGCCAACAACAGCTTTCGATCACCTGCTTAACTTAAGGCAGCCTATGTGAATTTTATGAGGAATTTGAAAAAGGAAAAGGTAGATGCATCAAAATATTTCATATCAAACACAATTGAGGGGTGAAATGATAGATTGAGAGGTAGAATGATAGTGGTGAAAGTGAAGTTTGCTTTGTTTTTAGAAAGTGAATGTTTATTGTAGTTAAATAATGTAAATATAAGTACAATCATAAATTATAATAAATATAAAATTGTGATATCTTTAGGGTGAGTTCTATAAAACTGAAGGAGGGCCCCCTGTACCAGAAAAAATGGATGAATCTAAAGAAAAATTATTGGACCCTCTTAAGCCCCAGTTGCAGCCAATTCCCTCTAAATATGATTCTACAGAGAATTATTTACCCACAAGTAATGTCATAACTGTATTTTGATATGAAATTCAATTGTAGTTGTTTAATTTAATAATAAAATTAATTCTGTTTATAATTATTATTCCAGCAAGCCAAGCAGCTGAAGGGTATAGTCAAATTATAACCATAGACCCTTGTACTGTACGGACAGTGGATATTTCTGCAGGAAAAGAATCTTGTTCAAAAGGAATTTCTTCTAAACTCGAAGCCAACAACAGTAATCGTAGAATATTTAAAAGAAAACGGACCATCTCTGATATTTATCAGAATTTAAGTGAATTCATGGCCAATCGAACACATAATTATGAACATTTACAAAAAAAAAATGAAGTTGAAATGAAAATTCTCGAAGCCAAATTGGAAAGAGAGGAACACATGAAAGTAAAAGCTTTACTAGATACAGAAATGTATTCAATGAAATATGAACAAGAAAAAGAGTTAAACCGTTTAAAATTAGAACAGGAAAAAGAATTAGTTCATATAAAATTAGAACTGGAAAAAGAATTAGGTCATTTAAAATTAGAACAGGAAAAAGAATTAGGTATTATAAAATTGGAGTTCGAAAAGCAGATGAATTCGTTTAAAATACAGCAAGAAAATGTGAAGCTGATGATTGAAGAAGAAAAATTAAAAATAGAAGTATTAAAAGCCGAAGCTTTGCAAAAAAATTAATCTGCTCATTCGTTTTTATTATATTGTGTTTTTACAATTAAAAATATATTTTCAAAACAGTTGTAGTTTTCAAAGGTCTTACCTCACTCAAGTTATTTATATGAGTGAGATTGTATTCTACAACTAATTATAGAGAAATGAAAATAAATGTAGAAGTAATATAAAACAAAACTACTTGGCCACACTCAGGCGACAGTCGTAGAAATGGACGAGCAGCTGTGATATAGTGATGTGATGATCGAGTGATGTGATATAGGTAGTTTATGAGCGCTCATATATTGCACAAGACTGCAAATAGCCAGAACAGTGAATAAATATAGAGCTTGTGCAAGAAGGAGCGCAATGCGCAGTAAAGGACTGAGGCAAACTACCTAGTTCACTAACTCCACAGACTTAGCAGGGTAGCTCAGTGGGTGAGTACTGACTTCCAGAGCTCTAGGTCCTAGGTTCGAATCCGACTGATGACTAGTAATTATTGGTGCGCGGGATGGCAGAATGGGCTAACACGTGTGCACAGCACTGCGAATTGCCTAGCAACCAGATACCAGAGATATGAGCGATTAAAAAGTACGAGTTCGAGTCCCGGTGACGGAGGGGATTTTAAATTACCCACCCTCTCCCAGGATATAGAGGAAAACCGTAAAGAACTGCCGTATCAAACAGGCCTATTTGAAAAACTAATTGAGAGAAATGGATGAAAACTTTAAAAAGCAGAACACAGGGTTATTCTACAGGGCGTTTGAATATTGGGTAAAAGGATATTCAGGGTCAAACTTGAATTTTAGGTAACTACTAAAGTGTGAAGAACCGAAGGAAAAATTGGAAGTGAGGGGTGTGATACAAAATCAGGACAGTGAACCACCATCCATAGAAGAAGTTAAAGAAGTAATATTTTCATTGAAAGATATCCCAGGAAGACGGTGTGATTGAAGAAATGTCAAAGTGAGTGAATGAAAAATTGATGTGAAGATTACAGAATTATTACATGAAGTATGGGAATAACAGGAAATACCAGAACATTGGAAAGTAGCGTTGATCCATCTATTGCATAAAAAAGAGAACTAAAAACAGATGTTAATAATTATATGGAATATCCTTGTTATCAGGAACATACAAGATTTTGTCTAAACTATTATTGAATAGGTTAGAATTACTGGTGGATCATAAGTTAGGTGAATATCAAAGGAGTTCAGAAAAAAGAGATCATGTCTGGAACAGATTTCATGTTTGAAATTAATTCATACCATGTGGCAAAATGGAAGAGAATTTATGTATTATTCTTTGATTTTCAAAAAGAATATGATTCGATAGATATGCTGTTCAAAATTCTGAAAGAATACATGCGGGATCGGAAAACTTGGAATTTGATTAAATTGATGAATTTATTAATTAAAAGAGAATAAATAGATGAATGCTATGAGTGTTAACAATAGCCATAACACCTTGATTTGAAAGTCCTCCTGTAGGTGTGAATCTTTAAAGAGCAGCATTCAGGAGACCTTTATATGGCACACACCTTGAAGATTGTGTGAGGGCTTGCTCATACTAAGATGTGTCTTAAGGTGTTACAATTATATCTGTACAATTCCTGCCTTTGGAAATGGGGTAGCTCAATGGTAGGGCACTAAGCTTCCAATGCTCAACGTCCCAGGTTTGAATCCCGGCTCATGGCAGAAAAATTATTTATTGTTTCATTGCCTGTGGGACGCCCCTGGGGTAGAGAGACCCTCCTGGGGCACCCCCAATCTCTAAAAAGTGGGTATCCTTAATTAAATAATTGTTTAGGAGGAAAACCTAGGGAGTGGGGTAGCTGAGTGGATGAGCACTGACTTCCAGAGCTCATGGTCCTAGGTTCGAATCCAGCTAATGACTAGTAATTTTTCATTAGCTGTGGGTCAACCCTGGGATCAGGAGACCCTCTTGGGGCACACCCAGCCTCTATAAAATGGGTACCCTTAATTAAAAAATATTAAGGGGGAAAATCTGGCAGTTGAGCATGATATCGGCCCCATCACCTCCCCTCACAATTGTTGACCTTGAAACAGTACTTGCTCATATAGTACTGAACCCAAGACCCTTCATGGGTTGTTGTGGTACAGGTTGATTTTATCACATTTATTTTTCTACAATTCCTGCTTTGTATCCATCGTTGGTTGGTATAAGAATTGATTCTTCCTGATCTTTCAGTTTATAATTCTGATTTAATTTATGATCTAAACCAAAAAGATTTCAATAAAAACAATTACCACTATTGGAAATTATTTTTCCACCACTGTCCTGAAACATTTCTTCCCTCTTTATTAATACATTTTTGTTAATAACTTCAAAAACCTTTTTGTTTGGTTTTTTATAGACCTTATTCAATTTATATATTTATTGTTTTTTCCCTTTTTCTATCTATTTTATGAACTATCAGATTAGAAAGTCTTTTCCTCTATCCTACATAGTAAGAACATAAAACATTAAATTATTTACAGGATAGATAGAAAAAATTATGAAGGTATATATGTTAGAGTAAGAGATGGTTGAGATGGCAAAAAAAATTTCTGGAGATAATTTTTTTAATATTTACTGTTTTCAAGTTCGGTTACGTTGTTTTGTCGGCAAGTCTACAGGGATACAATACCAATTTAAGCATTAATATTAGATAAGTCAAAATGCTGAAAGAAGTCTTGGTCTCACGACTTGCCCACTCTAGTTGGAGTAGGTTGATTAATGTAAGATAGTCTCTTCTTATGTCAGAAATGACTTGGTCGGAGGTGAAAGAAAAAATATACTGTTTAAAATATTTTCATTTGTATAAGAAAGTACTGAAAATGATTTGATGAATAGTTATTTAAAAATAATCTTGAAGTTATGATGCAGTTTAAAGGAACTGGGATGTAATAGAGTGTAACTTCCTACTGATTAACAAGAGTTAACATGTTGAGAAAAGAAATGAAGGCAAAACATTTATAAAAACACTTTTTGTTATTTGAGAAACAGGCACAGTTGATTGTGAGTGGATACAGCAGCTTATCAAACTGTATTAGTTATTGTATTAGTTCTAACAAAGTTTCTAAAAATGGTGCATTTTTACACAGCTCATTATAATTCACTTAATCAATGATAATTATAACTTCTTAATGATTTAGAAAATTCATAATATCGTTGAAGAGGTTGATAGTTCTACTCAAAGCCTATGGTTCCTGAATCCATGATAATCAAGTATGTATATGAAACAAAACTATGTAATCTTTCAATACCACCCTAGTTATATTCATTGCTTAGATGTCAACACAGAACCATGGATTGAATAATAAAGATCTATATATCCTGTTCCCAAAAGATTAACTTAATAACAGGAAGAATGGATCTTCTAATGTTTGTATTAGTATTATTAACTGATCAAATTTTATGGATCTTGATAATGGAAATATTCCATATATATTTTCTTATTTTGTTGATATCTTTACTCTATACTTCCTCTTAAATTCTATTCTTACGAAATTATGACCTTCAATCTTTTTAATATGCTGCTTATACCTGCAGGTCATTACAATATTACTTTTATTCAATGCATGTATTCAATTTTATGAAATATTTTAAATCTCTGACTTCTTCTGAATCTAAATTGAAAAATTATTGGGTGGAATGAAATTTCATTCTGTGGATAAATTCTGTTTCTCTATAAAATTTAAAATTGTTAGAATAATTTCTTTCCATTCTATAGACATCAACGAAGAATGGTTCTAACTATAGTTAATTGTGTTTGAAGTAGTTTTTAAAATCATTTTGTTTTTAAGTACACTTTTATTCTGAAATTAATTAAAACATTTTCTAATTTCAAGACTACTCCTTAATTATTAGGTAAGTAGTTCTTTGCAATGTATAGCTGTGGGATACATATATATATATATATATATATATATATATATATATATATATATATTTTTTTTTTTTTTTTTTCACAAAGGGTTTGACTATTTTAAATTTCTGTCAATATAATTTTAAATAGATATTAAAAGTTTTTTAAAAGAATAATTAAATATTGGAACAACCATAATATTTTATGTAAGCCATTATTTTATTTATCAATTTTACCACATTTTGTAACAAAAGGTTCTTGGGTACATAAAGAGCATCCAATAAAAGATCCTAAGCTACATTTCCTAGATACACCCATTAAAAATAATGGAAAATTGTTACAACCAAGGTTAGGTTTCTTAAAACTTGTCCCCAAAATATAACCCATAATTTAAAAATTGATGAGGTATATATATTTTATCTGTTTACTCTTTTAATTTATTTTATAATTTATTACGTACAAATTTTAGATTTACAAACAAGATTTACTTGCAGCAGTGAGATGTTAAGCTGACCTGCCTAACATCTTACTATTGCAGACACCCATTTTGCCTATTAGGCACGGCAGGGTTTTAAATAAATAAATAAAATTTTAGATTTTTAATTTTTTGTTTTATTGTTTGCTAACCTGATTTAGCAGTGAGAAAAAAATAAAACATTTTTTTTCGTTTAATCACTTATTATTTATATACCAGTTAAATTCTGCATTGCCAGCATGCTGTAGTGTGTCGTATCTTCGTCGTATAATTTACTTACCGCTGATGATTATCAATGAGGGTCAAAATATTGGCTAAATATAAACAATACAATAATATGGTATTTATAGTAGGACAGGTAAAATAAACAAATGAAAACCTGAAATGGAATTTTCAATGATTGTTATTGGGTTTGATGATTTTAGTTCTTATTAGAAAAACATTTAAAATAAACATACGAAAACCTGAAATGGCGTTTTTAAATTAAACATTTTTTTGCTTGATTTTATTCTGAGTTCAATTTTTCCAGCATGCTGTAGTGCATCTTCTCCTTTTTTGTCTGTTATCACTTACTAAATTTGTCGGCATTATTATTATATATTTTTTTTTTATGGGCCTTCAAAAATAAATCTCCTCAAAATCCAAAAAAAGAAAAGACACTACTTTCTGGCCAATTTGGTGACGAATCGGTGATTACTTACCGCTGGTGATTATCAATGTGGGTTAAATATAAACAATACACTAATATGGCATTTATTGTAGGATAGGTAAAATAAACAAATGAAAACCTGAAATGGGATTTTCAATGATTGTCCTTGGGTTTGATGATTTTAGTTTTTATTAAATCTTGAATTTAATTTAATGATATAAAATTAATCAAAAAAATCCATAACTATTAATTAGCAATAGTATAGTAGGCTCTGGTTATGTTTTTTTTTTTTAAACGATTTATCTCAAATGAGCTGTAATATTCTTTGGGATACAATAAATTGGTTTAATAAAGTTTTTATTTTTTAAATTTGATAAGTCGAACATACTTCCCATCAAGTGCTTATTAATCATTTAATCTTTTTAAAATCACAACTTCAAAATATTTTAGGCCATAAATACCGAATTACATAATTCATATATTTTTCTGTAAAAGTTTTAGATTAATATCAATAGCTCAATTTTTTGCTCATCTGCTTCTGAATAAATAAACAATGAATCATATGCATACTGGTACTGGTGAGGTGGAAGAGAGAAATTATTCCAGCTAGTGGCCTTGAGGTTGGGGCCTCAAAGAAACAAATATTAACTGACCTAGGTGGGAATCAAACCCACAACGTTCAGAACTGGGATCTACGTCCCAATGTGATCATTCATCACCTCCTCAATCATAGGTATAGCAAAGATTAAGTTAGGAAAACATTAATTTAATAGAAAAAAAAGTCAGTCTTTATTTCATACAAAAGTTAAAATCTACAATATAATTTTATATATACAGATCATTTTATAAAAACAACAAGTTGACCTATATCACAAATAATAAATATACACATACATATCATCAAAGTAGTATTTAGTTTAGTTCTTTGATTAAAATATTTAGCATCATATACCACCAGTCCTCTAAGGGACGTTAAAAAAAAAAAAAAAAAAAATCAATTTTCCAAAACATACATATCATCAATAATAATTTAAGTATGATATAAAATGCTATATACATCACAATTTCTCGATAATTTTTATTAACATGAGGAGATCATGGATGTTATCAGAGACATAACTAAATATCTTTCTCTGCATATTATCATCCTTTCACTCCTGTTTCGGATGCCTCGTTCGACTACGACTTCGCCTTTCTTGGGTACCTTGACCTCGCCTTTCTTGGGTACCTTGACCACGCACTCTCAGGTTCAGTTTGATAGCCAGAGCGGCCATGACTACGATGCATGTCAAGAGGAAAGATAAGCCAATTGGCATATATACTGTTGAGAGGGCAACGATGCACATGACTAGCTGTAAGCAGATCAATCCAACTGCAGCGTAAACTGATGAAACCAGTAGGGCAGCGTGCAACTGTAAACAGAATAATTAATAATTAAAACGTTGAATTTTTATAAACTACTGTTATTTATGGTTATATTCACTTAATACAAAACGAATTTTAAAGATAATATAATATATAGTTGGTGCAATACCAAACTAACATATCTATCTTTGACTGCAAAAACTGAATTTAAATTATGGTTCCAAACGCTAGTTAGCTGGTTGTATCTTGTTAAATTTAGTTTGGTCTCACTCATGATATTGTTAATTATATTTTATTTTGAAAAAATGTCCATAAAAAAAAAAAGAAAGAAAAACACAAGAAAAAACATTGCAAAGCTGATACCACACTTTGCCATTGGACATACAATATAATAGTTTTTCTAGTGCCAAAGTTAATGAAAATTAATTATAGACCTTTCCAAATTTATATTTGTGTTGTTTATAGAGTAGTGACATTTATTTAATCCTCGAAAAGAATTTTTTTGTCTCTATATATATTTTTAATGATATATTTTATTTTTATAGCTTTTGACCATTTATATGTTTATTTTTAAGGGACTTGGTCTTAAAATAAAATTTCCTTGCTCCCTTAAAAAAAAAACATTTATTACGGTTAAAAATATTGAAAACCTATACTTAGGGATTGCATATGTTGTTTAGAAGGAATGAGATAATACTTAAATAAGCAAAAAGAGAAAGAAATCTACATTTTGATTAAATAATTAATAATATTCATGTCTCATTACCGTTATCTTGAAAAATGAGCATTTCATATGGATTTGACAAAAAATACTTGGAGTTTTAAAACAATTTTATTTTTAATATTTTAATAATGGTTCAAGTCAGTTATGAGTCAATGCAAAGAAATTAATTGTATAAA